TCCGTGAGAGCGGCTGGTGGGCCAAGAGAGGTGTCTGAGCTCTTACGAAAAAGGCTACAAACCAGGGAGTGACTCCAGGGGAAGATTTCAGGGGATAATTAACATGTTTCAGAATGCATGTGCCATGTCTGTCTCAGACAGACAGCATGAAACCAAATTACTATATTAATGAAGCAATAGGAGGCTAAGTGTGCCTCTTTCTCTCGGACAAGCGCAATATTTTGTGCAAACAAAGCATTCATAGCGCTGAAGGTTACCCTTCTGTCAAGGCTTTGCCTTGGTTTGCAAAATCAGGGCCGCGGCCCCCACACCAAATTCCTCCACAAATCGCCTGGATTAATTGGGTCTTAGCCTACCTAGCATAATGAACATTTGTTGAGATTCTGATACTGCAAGGAAACCGATACATTTTAATAACAATTCTTTGCGCACTGAAGTGAAGAAAGGTCATCCAGGCCAACGGCATTTTAAATACACCACTCCATCGTTAAATGGACTGTCAAATGAAAGGGTGGGGGATCCATGCCATGCACCATGATTTAAAAATAATAATGCACACAAGCAAATCTGCTTTTTAAACCTCCACCGAAACCTGCGATTCCTTGGTCAACTCCTTTTCCTTTAAGGTTTTCGTACTGCTTACATTGCTAATAAAATATGCCATTTTAATGTGAATCATTTTCTTTTGCAATAAGGAAAAAATGGCTCAGTCTCCTCCTTGGTCTTTTTTCCTATTTTTCGTCCTCTCTCTCTTTACATCTTTCCTCTCTTCCCCCATCTTCAACGCAACGTTAAACATTTTTATAGGTAAAATAAATGTCAGTTTTGTGAGGTTTTGCATGAAACCCTGGGAGACAAATTGTCTCTGTGCTGAATCTCAGAACAGCTTCGGCAAAGCTTTCTCAGCATCACATGAGAGTTCAGTCTTTCAGAACAAAATTCTACCCAGAAAGCAAAGCTTCTACAACCTCTTTCAAATGGTAACTCTGCCTTTGAATTTGCCGAGAACTTTATCTTGATGTTGCGCATGATAACGTACTAATCTTGGGTGACTAAAATTAAAAAAAAAATACAAATATTTGAATTGCTTTCATATTTTTAAAGGGGATGTAAGGAGAGGGGAAAAATGGAGGACAACCAAAGTTTAAACTGCTGTGGCTATAATCGTTCATAAATTCATGAAGCAATAATGGAGAGACGGGAGGAGGAGGAGGAGGAGGGAGAGAATGCGGTTTTATCAGAATGTCATTCAAATGAAAGGTTTAACATTTACATCACAAGAGTGAGCTGTGAGCGAAAACTATCCTTAGGGAAAGAAATGCCAAGAATAAACATTAGAATAAAATAAAAAAAACTATACATTTACTGTATTGTGCAATATACACACACACTTTTAAAATTTTAAATTAAGACATCCATGAGTTACAAAAGACAGCATGGTAAACGCATGGTAAACTTTTTTGAATTCTTACATTGAATTAGGATGTCTGAGCTATTAGCATATATGAAATAACATACAAGAATTCACATTTTCTGCCTTCCATTTTTAAAGTTTTAAATAGAGATGAACCCAAGGGCAAGAAATCTGCCACTAGGAAATACATATACCCTAGAAGAAAAAGTTGTTCACCAAATTAAGAGAACAAATTAGCTGTAAATGGCTTTGTTTTGTTTCTCTGGCTAACAATAAAATTTAACCATTTTTCTAGGAGGGGGTAAAAACATTAAAGATGACGGAAGAGAGGGAATGTTCTTCTCTATTTTTTAAAAATTATGTATTATATTTTAAAATTAGGTCTTATAATTTAAACAAATCCATTCTGTTCATGTGAAACACTGAATGTTTTCTGTTTTGTTTAAAAAATGGCTTAACTCTATAGAAACCAGATCTTTATTCCAGCGCACAGCACTTTTTATGTTAAATTGCTGTTGAATTTGTTAGCCCACAATTGATTTCCTGTATTACGAAATCTTAGAGATTATGGTTAACTTGAAGAAACAGGGGTAAATTTTTGATAGTTATATTGCCATGTAGAAGCATTTTTCTCAAGTGGAGCTGTTGGACATCCATCTGAACATTAGCTCAACAGTGCCCCCTGCTGGCAGAAGGTACCTTTTCCTTCAGGGTTTGGGGTTCAGGACAGGTATGGAAGAAATAGAACAGATTTGGAGTTGCTGGCGGTGAGCGTCTGGAGGAGCAAATCAGAACCCCAGTTCTAATAAACACCCACTTTTACTTAGAGAGTCGACAAAAATAAAGCCAACCACGGACATGACCAGTTAGCATTGCTGTCTGTCTCACCAAGTAGCTCAAATGAACTGTAAGGTCTTGGAAGTCACAAACATTAAAGCCATTGTTTAACATTTGAAGTAGAAGCTGCTTGTATCTTACTCCACACCACAAGAAGAAGGAAGGAAGGAAGGAAGGAAGGAAGGAAGGAAGGACGGAAGGAAGGACGGAAGGAAGGTCTCATGAGTTTGCTGATAAATATTGTCCCAAGTCCTGTTGAAAGAAGATACACCTGGGAGGGCCATGTTTCTAATTAGCTGCACATGGAAATGTCACACCAACTGCAGACAATCCAGCCCTGGAGAATTCTCTGGGTATGCAGGGCTTTCCCCCCATGTTCTCAGTGCACACTGGAGATAGTGTAACATCCAAACACTGTTGCTTTTGCCTTGCTAAGCACCACCATGACAAGAGGGGAGATTGTGGCTGCAAAACCAACAAAGGCGCTCCCCTTCCCCCTCGGCACACACACAGAAAAAAGTGTGTGTCAGGGGAAAGACAAGGTGAGCCACTTAGATCCTTGTTTCCAAACTCCTGACAGCTGCGATGGTTGCCCACTCCCGGAATTCAAATTGGATACACGCGCCACTTTTACACCCAATAGTGAGAGTGCTTTTCAGAATGAATAAAAGGGATTTAAAGGATCCGTCCTTGGAAGATGATCACCTCCCTCCTGCAGCAAATACACACACACACACACACACACACACCCCTGCTTCTGCATGAGATGCTCATGCCAACGGGAGGAAGAAAGCAAAACCAGACTTCTGACGCTCATGCCCCTAAGAGAGAAGATCAAGGGGAGACACAAGAGCTACCTCCAGATATCTGAAGGACTGCCCCACAAAAGACAGAGCAGTTGTCTCTATCACTCCAGAGGGGTAAAAATGCAGGGAACCACATTTTAGCTAAATTGTGGAAGAAACTCCCCAATGGTAAAAGCTGTTTGACAGGATTAAAGAGAGCTGATGAGTCCTTTCCTTCATAGGAGGTATCCCAAAAGAGGAGGCCCAACATGAATCAAGGATATATGTTGAGCTGCACATCCTGCCTTGAGTAGGAGCTGGTCAGAATGAACTTCAAGTCCCTCCCAGCTCTAAATTTCTAATGATTCTGTGCATGGAGAGGACGGGCTCTACTTAGAACATGTAATTCCACGAGAGAGATGCAGCAGAATGCAATGGCTGTAGAAGATAAGGATTGGAAGAAATGGCTTGTTCTAAGCATGAAAAAACTCCCATCTTCTGTCCCCTTCCAGAGGAGTGGGCAGCCATAAAAGTGACACTTTCTGGCCATGAATTTGTCCCTTCCTATTCAACTTTCATTTTTATGGCCTCTCTTTGACAGCAGCCCACCAAAGAAGGTGACTGGAATCTCAGCACCTTGGACAGCGCCAAAGGTTACGATCTGCTCGGGCAAAAGAGGGTGGCTGACCGAGGCTTTATGGGCTCCTCGCTCCAGCTCCAAAGCTCCACCTCCTGCCTAAGAAGTGCGACTTCTTATCCTGCTTCATTTCTACTCAGGGAATGCTGACTGATCCAATTGCGCATGATGGAGACGAATGACAGGATTAACATGCCCAGCAGAAGGCAGGATGGAAGGAAGCCCATTGCAGTCACTCTTCCAGAGGGCAAAACAGGCTGTCTCCTTGGAAGTCTGACAGTCTGACTGCATCTCCAAGGCAGGAATGCTCCGGATCAATAAGACGGTTCTGTTCCGTGGGGCAGAATTGCTTGCCTCCCAATGGAAGCCTACTGGAAGAAGGAAAGAGCAGATCATGGGGACGTGGCAAGACAGCTTCATAGTGGAACACAAGAGGTGGTTTAGGACAAGGGTTGATAACTGAAGGGCCAGATAACCCAATGGACAGACTTGGTCTGGTCATTCTTAGTGGCTGAGTAGTTTGGATATTTGAAATAGTAGACAATGATTGTCAAGAGCAGGTTGCTTCCTCTGTCTTTTCCTCTCCAGCAGATTCAATTGAAATCTTAGAAGGCCTGTCCTTTTATTAAAACTTAACAGGTTACAGAACAGTAGAAATCAAGATCACATATTCTCTGAGATGTGGGAGAAGCATTTGTACATGAAAATTGTTGGATCCAAACTGAAACTTCTCCTCCTTCTCTCCCTTTCAGAAAAGATTTTGACTCCACCCTCAGAGTCAGTGGTTCTTGCTGCTTGATGGTGGGAATGCTGGTCACTTGGTCTGTTTGTTTTGCCCATCATCTCCTGATGGGGTCAAGGGACTCCTCCATTGCCTTCTCACCCCCACAGCTCCAAAACTTCTCCCTCCTTTTCCAAGGCAAGCTGGTGGTTCTCACACTGCCTGAGAATCTCCGCTGGGGAGCCTTGAGACTGCCAAGTCCTCTGCCCACCTTTGGCCTCTGCTCATCCTCAAAATAGGATGTACCTATCTGACCAGGCTGTAACATCCAAGAGCTGGGCCTCCTCTCTACAGTAATAATGATGATGCTAAAGATTAAAAGATAGCTCCTTCCAAAATAAACATCAGCCACCAAGCTGTGGATATCTTCTCAATGGAGCCCCAAGCTTTAGGATATGGACACCAACCACCCTGGCACCCACCATGCAATCAGAATGTAATCAATAACATGATAGCAATTCAACACCCAGTTCTCAGACATCACAGACAACAACTGGGAAGGCTTAAATATGCTCACACGATGTGAAAACAATGATGGGTACATACCATGAGCTCCATTTTTCTCCAAAGTTCTTCCAGGGTTGCCATGGGCTTGTCCCACCAATCAGTGCACTTTCTGTAGCGTTTACCCTGGAACCAAAACTGCCGTAGCCACTCAAACTCAACCTGTGAAAACACAAAAGCATATTTTCCCCCTAAATGGATGGGCAGTTTTTCCCCACGAGGAATATCCAGGCATACATTGCACAAAGGAGCAAATGATGCAGAATAAACTGTAAAGGCTCCAGAAAATATTGTGGTCGTGAGACTTGGAACATCTGGATTCAAAGCTATTCTTAGCTGGTGGCTATTAAGGCAAGGGTATCAAGCATCTTTCAGTCTAAGGGCCAGATTCAATTTCAAAGTGGCTCTTGGGACCTGCCTTTCAGTAGTGGGTGGATGGGAAGGCAAAATGGATTGAGGCCAAAAGCTAAAGGGAAGGGCCAAAACATATTTTACCATTAAGTGTTTACTACCAGTATGTAAGCATTGAGAGAGACATTTTGCCCTTTTAATATGGAAGGTAAATTGCACAAAAACTGGAAGGAAGCAGTCCAGAAGGAAATGTGACTATCAGGGGAAGCTTGAAGACCTACGTTAGACTCCCAGGGTTGATGTTCAACACCTCTTTCTTACAACAAGTCTTTACTTCTTCATCTTAATCCTTGTGTTTAACATCCGCTCACTAACGGGTTCAACAGGAACAAACAGTAGCAATGCCCACTCAAGCTGTTGGTTCAGTAATTTAAGATTAGCTGATTTTTAGTTTTGCAACAAAATGATCCTTTAGGCAATTTACAACAAAGGGTAACAAAGCACCCATAGAGCTATCTACAATCCCAAATCCTATACAACCCTACAGTCCTTGGTGTCCCAGCCAGGTGAATGCCCATCAGGTCTGTAGTCCCAAGGTAATGGAAGGATGGAGCCAAGGACTCTTCTGACGTGAAGGAGTAAAAGACACTCCTTCAGCTGTTGCTCCTTTTGGAGGATGGATGAGTGCAGACTGGCTTCCCCCTTGCCCCATACACACATCATAAACAGTTTGTGCAAATCCCCATGACATGCTGTCTACATTCCAAATGGGTCAACTGAACCAAAAAATTGGAGGATCTTTGTGTCTAAGAACATCACAATCTTGTTGTGCTGAACCATCAGACCAAAGGAATTTGCAGTGGTGCTACCTGGCACCAGGTACATGGGATGAGTTTGCTGATCACATAGTTCTGCTCTTAGTCACTTTACCTGCTTTCATCCTCTAAGCAGCATGTTGCTGAACTCAGAACTACACGCCCTTGGGTGGATTTGTTTGTTCTTGCTATAATTCCCCCAGTCAACTCCACCAACACTTGTAGCGCCTTCACAACGATGTGTGAATCCAAAGCAGATCCTCCTTTTTAAAAAATTACCCTACTCAGCACTTGTGTTTCCAGAACAGCTGTCAGAGAACAACAGTGAGCCTTCAGAGAGCTTACTGATTAATCTTCAAGCATGGTTCTTTCTCATAATACATGTTCTCATTGCCTTTTCTTCCTTCTTTCTTATTTCAAGTGAATTGCAGTTCTGGTCAACTGGAACTGTGTATTTATCTTTGTTATGTTGGTTGTATGTTTTTATACACAGACCTGGATCCCATTTCAGTTTACACCTGAGACCACAAAGAATTTTGTTCTGTTTACCTTGTTTAAACTGTGATGGCCCAAACAAAGAGAAACTTGTGGAAGGAGCAACATTGACCAAAACCCTCTGATTTAAGTTCTCACCTGAGAATATCCTTTCTTTGCCACCCAGCCCCCACTACTTCCTCCTCCCCAAGGCTAAAACAGAACAGATACAATAGTCTGAAAGTGATTTTAGCTGACAGTCACTAAACACCCATTTGATATGTGTAACAGCTTTCAACAGAAGTTGTTTTTTCTTTCTTTCTTTCTCTGTATGGCTATAGATAAAGAATAAGAATAATAAAAAGGCAATCCTGTTGGTAGAACAGGATTAGCAGACACCAGTTAACAAAGGTAGATCTTAGATGTTTTGAAAGGAAGGTGTTTAACTTCTCTTGGCATACAGTTCTAATAATGGATGCCCTTGCTCAATGGCGTTCAGCTAAAGTTTAGCCATCTATAAGGACCTCTAGTTTCATTCTCCCATGACAACCACAACAACAGCCCTACTCGGTTAGAGTGCCAATATCTCCAATAGCTGCAGGTATGTAATTTTTTTTTAAATCTGCAGCTTTCACTCACTTGGCTTTCTTGACAAGAGGGGTGATGTTGGAGAAGTGTCTACACAACAGGTGGATACTTGACACCTTGCTTCCTGCCCCACCAAACCGGTGGGCTAACTGATGTCTTTGCAAATCGAGCTCTGGGCTTCAAAACCTGCTTCGGCTTCTTTTTATCCTGCCTTTCAAACAGCTATGGGGAAAAGAGATGGAAGGCCTTATCTGCAGAGGGATAAGCTGGAAAGACACAACACAGAAGGGAAAGAGAGAGGGAGGAGAGGGGAAGGGGGGGGATTTACCTTTGAAGACCAGAACCAGCTGGTCAGCTTGAAGAGGTCAGCCTGATTCTCCCTTGCTTGAATGAGGCTCTTGTTCCTTCATGCTTTCCCATGACTTTCGGCAGCCCCAGGACAACTCTCCTTTTGGCCAAGGGTGGGAGGGACAGCTCTGCTACTATTCCTTCCCTGAACAGTGGGTATGTCTGGATGATCTTCCTCTTGGTTGAGGAGCAGGTTGAGCAGCTTATTACTGTGAAGTTCAACCTTCACAGTAATCAGCAGCTCCTCTACGTCTGGTTCAGCTTCCTGCCTCACTCCTGTTTGAATTCCTGCCAATTCCACCTCCTACAAATCTTCCAAACCTTCTATTGACGACTTGAGGGACTTGACCTCTTGCCCAGCTCGGACCCCTTATGCAGCCTCTTCTTGAGCACTTTTCACCACACCTTCTAGAATTTTGGAGCACACGGCTGCCGTTGCACCAAAGAGACTGACAACCCGCTCTCCTGCATCAGGCTTGAATACAACAAACTGAGTCTGCATTTGTATGTGGTGCACTCCATGGAGAGATGAAAAAATTAAATCCAGGTTTCGTCTTTAGAGAAGACCCATTGGTATTAATGGGATTTGTATTACTCTGAGTAACTTATGTCTCAATGGTTCCAACGTGTCATTCCTAAGAACAATGATAGTGGGACCCAATCCATTCTGCTTTTTCCATGGAAATTCAGGTGTGAAATGGATGTCCATTTGGTTTTCCCATTTCTAGGAGTTCCTTTTGATAATAGGCCCACAGAAAAAGCCAGAACCATGTCCACTTGGTGTTCCACCCATCTCTCTGTCCTAATCTTCAAAGTCACATACGTGAAGTTCATCTACTGCTTCCTGGGGATCACCTATGAGGAACGGAACACCTTCTGAGTCTTGTTTTGAACTAGACAGAGCCAGGAAGCACATGGCTTGGCCTTCGTATCAGATCCACTAGGAAAACGTTTGCCTCCCTTTCACCTGGCATGTGCCAGGAAAGGCACAGCAGGCGAGAGCTGGTGAAGCCTCATCCACATGGAGCTGGAAGCAACAGGCGAGCCCCACCTCGCCCAAGCTAGACCTAGCACAGGCCTAGTCAACCTAGTTCCTTTGAGGCATTCTGGACTACAACCCCCATCAGCCCTGCCCAACTGGGCCAACGGTCAATCGGAGCTGCACAGGCTGGACCGTATTGTGTTGCTGCTCCGTTGCATTTATGAACAAATGCCGTCCCTCTTGGGCTTCTCCCTCGCTTGCTCAGTTTGTTGCTGGCACGGTTGTCCTCAATAGGAAATCAAGCCTACCAAAGCTGAAGCGGGCCAGAGCAGGGAGTTGAATGGCGCCACCGCCAGCACGCTTTGTAAAAGCAAAGCGACATGCTGTGGCACGCTTTTTTGTCTTGATCTCCTCCTGCGTGCAGCACAGACTCACCCCGGCGTCCACCAACCCCTCTCCACGCCCGCTTTGAGCTATTATGAAAGGCACACTTTGAAAGCGACCAAGCACAGGGCACCGGGAAAAGGCCAGTGGCTGCTACCTGACATTTGGGGAGCCGGGGGAGGTGGTGGTCTCGAGTCAATTATTTAGAGGCACTTGGCTTAATAAATGCCACCTGGGTGGGTGATCCTCAATGCCGGCCGGCTCCCGACTGTGCTGCCATTTCGGGGAAAATGCACTAAATACACATATTAACCTTACCCTGGCTGTGCGCATCAACACTGGTCGCAGCGGCGACCTGACAATCCATCAACACAACACCTTCACCGTGTGCAATGAGCCCAGGTAGAGATACGAAAAATACAGGGCCCAGCCCCCCAGGACACAAATCTGCATACGCTAATTTACATCTATGGATGCGAATTTGCGAATTTAGCCATTCGCTCCCTGTCTCATTCGCTCATGCATATACAATACATCCTGTATGTCCATTCCGTACATTTATAGTTTGATGGCAAGTGTACATCACTCTAAAATCTGGACTAAATAAAATCAAAACTAAGTTCGGGGAAATGGTTTTCTGTTCCCCATTTAATGGCGGGGGACGGGACTTGTGAGAGGTTTTTTGGAACTGTCTTGGAGCTGATATCCCAGTGGCTGAATAAAGGTCCTTTAGGCACTTGGCCAGACCTATGGCTCAGCATTCATTCAGCAGATCACATATTTCAGCCTAAATTACTAGCGGCCAAGCAATCACCTGATGGCTTGAAGGGGTAACTTAGTTCTGTAACAGCAATGGGGCATTTATCCTTCCTTTACTGTTGAGATGGCTGCATCACAACGGAGCAGCTCAAGCAGTACCTGAATAAGCTTATCACACTCCTGGTCATGCCAGTCAAGCATTTCAGACGGGTGGACGAGACACGTGCGCTTCTCTGTGATGTTTTTATGAGGCTCTCAAGCTAACGGGTCTTTCCCCAGTTCAAGCCAGTCGAGCTCCAATTACAGTACCCGATTGTGCTCCAGTCAAAGGGCTGACAGGTCCCAAGATCCAAGTTCAGCCAGATGCAATTTGCAGGCAGACTGGCCAATCTTTCAGGATGTCAAGGCAAAGTGATGGGCGAGAGGAACTGCCATGATGAACACAGAGATATACAAAAAAAGAACAGCAATACCCTTTTTATTGGCTCAGTTTCTGCTGGGAAGATAGCACCTCAGGAGAACCAGTCCTACCTAGGATGGTGAGGTGTCCTACTGTATGGAGGACAGTCCCCTGTTGGAAGGTGCCTTGAGTTGGAAGGGCTGTCCAGTTCAAACTCAGCTGGAAGAACTCTAGCAAAGGTAGGCGGGGCCTTGAAGTTGTTGTTGTTGTTGTTATATTACATTTCTATACCCAAAGCTCTCTGGGGACATTTGCTACGTTTTCAGTCAGCCACCTAGATTGCAACCAGGCCCCGACCCTGCTAAGCTTCCAAGAACAGGCAGGATCAGACACTTCAGGCTACACAGAAGTTGTCCCTCGGCGGTTAACACCTGGACAGCAGGTGTCACTTCATCTTTCTTCCTCACTGCCTTGAGATGTACTGCACTGCTATGTAAAATATAGTTCTTTCTAATGTGCAGCTACATATGTAAATTGGCATTTGTAATCTTATGTAAATGGATGCCCTCTTTGTTTGGTGATGTGTATGGAGCTAAGCCAAATACAGACACCCCTGCCTCAGTTTACAACAACTATTCAAATCTTGAACAGCAAGTCACCAAAGAGAAGGGAGAATGTTTGTTTATTTGGAGAGGAGAGCTGTGTGCACACACACACAATTTTTAGCAATGAGCCACCGTAGAAGTACGCTCCCTGCCTTTCCCACAGGTGTCCTCTTTTCCTCATTGACCAAGCTCAGGGGAAACCTGTCGCTCTCCCTTTGCAATAAAAGTATTATGGCCACACCACACCAATGGGTTGACCCTTGTAACAATTGTGAGCAACAACCCTCAGAGAAAGCCTTTGCTTCAGTCACAAAACCACACACCCCTTTCGTTCATGGAGCAGGGTGTCCGATCCTGCTGCTCACCTGGCGGTTTAGATGGTGCAGGTCTGGTGAGCACTGTGGAGTGAAGGGAGAGGACAGGAGACCAGTGTGAAAGGTTCAGGGCTCTCAGGGACAAGGGTGGGTGGAGATAACCCTCTGAGGACCTCAGACAATGCTCAGGAAGCAAACGGCTTGTTCCAACAGGCGTCCAACCCCAGCTGAGCCCTTTTATACTTCCTCGGCCTGACAACCCTTCTTAACCTCCTCTCCTTGTACAGTGGCATGGAGCCTCAAAGGGGTTTGACCTGGAATTGTTCCTCTGGGACGTCTCGCCAGGTCCTTTGCTGGTGTTGGTGACCCAGCTGGGTGGCATAGAAGGCCTCTTGAAGGAGCCTGGCTCCATACCTGACATCTCATGGGTTTTCAGCTCAGAGGTCTCAGCCTAAGGGCCTTCTTTGTCCACACCCCTGACCCTTCACCCTCCATGTGCAGGTCTGGGTCAGGAATGCTTCTTTTTGCTGGAAAAACACTGGAGCAAAACACATGCAACATGCCAAGGGTTGGGGAGACCCAAAACTAGGCAGCCAGCATCTACCAGGGGTGAGGAACAGGTGGGCAGCCCCTCCCAAGGCCCTTTTAGACCCCAGGTACTTCCCAGGCTGCCACCACCAGCATACGGTTCCCAAAACTCCCTGGAGTGCAATTCTGCATTAAAACAGGGAGTGTTTTCCATGCCCCCTTTTTAAAATTGCAAATCTGATGGCATCCACTCTTTCAGCCAGGGAAGGCATCTCCAGTGGGCCAGAAACTGATCTCTGGCTCCTTTGTCCTTGCCCTGCCCTACTTTACCCACTTTCAACGTTCATCTTTGCATAACCGGCAAGTGGAAAAAAAAAACTTGCTATCAACACTCCTTTGTTCTTACAGGCAAGATTTTTCCACACCACAGAAAGTCTCCAAGAAACACTGCCATATCGCTAGGATTTAGGATGTAAAACTGAGATTTTCTTGAAACATATGCCTCACAGATTAGGAACATACCAGGCGTATTAGGCCACGAACCTACCAAACGTTACCCTATAATTAGCAGACAAAAGGCATGTGGTCTTTCCCCACACCCACCTTCCCTTTTTCTTTTCTTCTCTTGCTGTTTGTTAAAAGGATGAATCAAAGACCTGCATTAGCCCCACAGATGTTAAGGCTTCCAGTTTGCAGCAGCAACTCGGCAAAGAAATGCGGCTCCTCAGCAAAGTCAACCACAGATCAGTTGCTCACATGTGTGGCAAGGAGAGCCCTTGTTGGGAAAAGCCAGCTGTGATATGGAATGAACCCTCTCGCTGAGTGAGAAGCTAATCCTGCAGAATGGACAGGGCGGAGGATCAAAAACCACACATGCACACACTGAAGTTCATGGCCAGGGGATAAGAGAAGGTGCGGTTCAGAAAGGGAGAACCAGGTAATGCCAGGAGCGAACAGTAAGCAAGGCTGGGAATCAGGGAACCAAAGGCACAGATTGGGCAGGATCACCCCAGCACAGGTGTCCATCTTTTCGGGTAGGTAGGCAGCTTTGACATGTTCACAGGCTGTTTATCGTCCTATATTCTAGCTGTGGTCCCTCTACTACCCAAGAGACACACACGCGAATGTCCACATTCTCCCCACTGTTTCTTCTCACCTCGTTATGGGTTTCTTCCACTCCTTTTATAGCTTCGACATCCAGCGACTTCAATGAGGGGACTCTTGAGACAGGGTCAATGAGTAGATTCCCCACCGCTGTATTGCACTGGTCCAGAATGTAGGCCAAGGTACCGCATGAGCACTATCAGAATTCAAGAGAGGAAAAGCAAGTCGAGCAAGCATCAGCCATTGACGTTTCAATCAGAAGCATGCTTGAGCACTGGGGTATGTTGGGAGTTGTCCTGTCTAAGCAAACATGGAAACACAGAAATAGAGTGAGTCAGAAGGGGCCTCCTGGGCCATCTAGCCTGACGCTCAGCTCCAGGGGGTCCTTCCTGGCATCCCAATTCATCCTTAGTTCCCTGAGCTTTGCTCCATTGGGATGCATCCTGGCCTCCTCTGCAGGGGAAAACAGGTCTCAACCCACCTCCACATGACACCCCCTCAAGTACCTATAAGTCACCAACAGACCTGCTTGGAGTCTCCTCTTCTCCAGGCTGAAAAGACCCAATTCCCTCAGTCTCAGTCCCTCATACACAGGGACTGTGCCCATAACCTATTCTCTAAAGTGCATATATCATTGCAATGTGTTTTATGCTATAGATCTCGTGAGTGCCACTGAGCTAAATGATCTGCAACACTTTCAAAAGAGGTTGGGCGCCTTTCTTGGTTAGAGGACTGAACTGGTTCTAGGCAAGTATGTCACAGGCGACCTTCCCCACAGTGAATGGGACGAAATCCCAAAGTGGGAGGGGTCACACATGCTCCCACTCTCATGTTGCCCCCCCCCCCCACAATCAGCTTTTTTAAAATTGGGGGTCATCCTTTGCAGCCACCATGATCCCACCACCACCACGCGCACAAACATGGACACAGACACCATATTAAATGTATTTATTATTTAAAATTTCCTACATATCACCTGATCGTTATAAATTAGGCTTATGTGCTGGTTTTACTGCTGGGATATACCATTTCTGCTTGCCGGCGAGAGCTCTAATCAATTCCTTGCAGCTGGAAAGCTACTAGGATAAGGCCAACTTTAGAATTTCTTGCTGGCTTGCAGGCTTCTTGTATGTCTCCCCATTTTGATCTCACACCTGCGCTATGACATTCGCAGAGCCTGGCAACAACAAGAACTTCAACGGGAGCTTAAGGCAAATAATCCATGCTGGTGGACTAGTTCTAAGGAGTGCTGTTGCAACAAAGATACCAAACACGTAGTAACATCTTCAGCAGCTCAGAGTGAACCAGTGTTCCCAACAGTATGCCGTCTTCCTAGGCAGTTGTGCCAGCAATATACTCAGAATCATAGAATAATAGAGTTGGAAGGCTGTCGAGTCCATGAAGGCCATCGGGTTCAGCCCCCTGCTGTTGCAGGACACCAGGTCACACCATCCCACTCAGGTGGCTGTCCAGTTTCTTCCTGAATGTCTCCAGTGTGGGAGAGCCCACCACCTCTCCAGGCAGCTGGTCCCACTGTTGTGTTGCTCCGGCAGTGAGGAAGCTTTTCCCGATGTCCAGCCTGAATCTGGGTTGTCGCAACTTGAACGGATTATTCCATGCCCCACACTCTGGCATCAGCAAGAAGAGATCCTGACCTTCCTCTTTGTGGCAGCCTTTGAGGTACTTATAGGGGATATCATGCCCCCCCTGTCAAGGCTGAGCTTAATAGCAGAGCCCCATCAGATTGCCTCAATATTTATGATTTGTTTGTTAGAAGATAGTCAAGCACTATGGGAAACAAGATGGCAGCTGGGTGAATCTTTCTTCTGATCTGGCACGGTTCTTCCTGTTCTTATCTAGCTAAGCAAAGGTAGAAAGTGAGAAGCTTCTCGGAACCCCAGATATAAACAGACCTAGAACTCAACCCTTTGAGCTAGGGGCTGCAGAAAACGTCTCCCTGAACCTGCTGAGAGCGATTCTAGAATATTCCGCCTACTGCAGTTTCTGGGGGCACGTCACCCATATGTCACCCATATGTGGGGAATGGATGAAAGCACTCAAAGAAGGGGAAAAAAATACATCACACAATGCGCCACAGATGAAGAGAATAAAGAGAACAGATATGTATAGATTGGACTTTAATACATCCACCCACATGCGCCCAATGCCTTTCTACAAAACTTCCTTTTGTACTGAGAGAATAAACAATACATAAAATAGTATTTTCTTTGCTGGAGGGGGTGGGAGCATGAGGATGTGTCTGTACCAGGGTTCCTTTCCGTTAAATATGTATAAGTCCAGCTGAATCCCCAAGAATAGCCTTGAGAAAGGACCCCTTGGTGTTCTAATGCTTTGTATTGAAAATTACCATACTATGAAATGAGGGGTCACAGAGGTTTATAAAAACAAGGCAGGAGCTTCTCAAAAGGAAGTTCTTTTTTGTTTGTGCCTCTGCAAGTAAATGTGCATTTTAATATCAGAATAACATAGTACTGGGGTCACAGAATTGCATCTCAGCTGCCAAGGACAAATAACAAGACTTGTCGATGAGGCTTAGAACACGATACTAAGATCAGCATATTGCTATGACAGTGAGCATTGTCATGGAAGCCGAGCTAGAGGGGGGCCTAGAAGACCATCAAGTCCAGCCCTCTGCTCAATGCTGGACTCCAGTTAAGGCAGCCATCCTGACAGATGGCTGTCCAGCCCCCTCCTGAATGCCTCCAGAGAGGGAGAGCCCACCACCTCCTCAGGTCATGGGTTCCATCGCCGTACTGTTCCAACAGTCGGGAAGTTCTTCCTGATATCCAGAAGGAACCTGGATTCCTGTAACTTAAGCCCATTATTCCATTTCCTTCTCTCTGGAATGACTGAGAAGAGACTCTGGTCCTGATGATGCTGTTGCATGAATGTGATACATCTATTTGTTGGAGGTGGACAAAAGGCAGGTCATAATCTTCTAGGAAATCCCCGGTAGGTCAGCAAGGGTTTCCAGCTCCAAACGACTGGACAAAACTGCTATTATTTTATTGGTTATTGTTATGGGATGTATTGTGTTTATTTTTCTCTTGTTTCCTATTTATATGAATGTATGTGTATTGTATTTTAATTTTATTGTGTTTTACGGTTGTTTGCTATTGTTATTTATTCCTATTTTATATATATTGCACTGTGTGCTGCCCAGAGAGCCTCTGGCTATGGGGCAACATAAAAAAGAGATAAAGAAATAAGCAAAAACCTTTCACTTCTTCCGCACTCAGGGTGAAACCAAGAAAGGCTAGCAGGAGAGAAAGGTGAGGGAGAACTGTGAGTGTGAACCCGTTATGCACGCTCCAATTCTGGTAGAGAAGATGGATTTCTTGGAGGGGAAAAATTCCACCCACACTGCCTTCACCCCATGGCTGCTACAGAAATGCTGTTTTGGAAACTACACCTCATCCAAAGCTATGCATCCAAACCTCATCCAAAGCTATGCATCCAATGGAAGGTACCATCTGGTACCACAAAGAGGGCAGCTTCTATCAGAGGATGGTGGAGTTGCTGGGCCACTCTGCAAAGGGTGAGTGTTGACAAGGGAGAAAACGCCCTTACTCACCTCGGCCACCCTGTGGGTTGAGCTGAATCTCGCTGTCTGGCCAGCCAGGACACAATGCTGGTGGGTCATGTTCAGGTCATCTGGGAACACATAGCAAGAAGGACCGTCAGCCACGGAGAGGGGCAAAGGCTTGGCATCTCCGATCCAATCGACCAGGGGAAGGGGGGTGGGCTGCGTGCGGGGGGATGGCCAAACCTTAGCTAACGTGCTTCCCGGTAACTAAGCCTTAAAGGGAAGCATTGTCACCCTTGCAGAACCCCAGAGGAAGACACACACAAAAATCAGGGAGCCACCAAATGACCCTCCATCCAAATCAAGAAGTCGGATCATTTGGGCAACCCTGGGCAAGATGTGGCTCGGAAGTCTAAGCTTCTGCACCCCTGTTACGTACGTTCCTTATAAGCCCTTATGCCGTGAAGGCTGAATAATGCCCTCTTGTTCCAAAGCAGTGCCCCACGGAGTCCAAATTGGTGGAGAAGGCGGACGGTAGCAGTGGGAAGTTTACTGGAAGCCATGCCTGGAAACTTTCCAAGGCATCTGGCTATCCCCTGTTGGAAATACGATACTGGGGCTAGGCAGAGTCTTGATCTGACCCTGCAGTATAAGGGTAGCAAAATAAACAAGCAAATAAAACATAAAACTACCAGCCACCATAAAGCGTGAATCAGCCCTAATAAGGAATCATTCTGTATGAAGCAGAAAAAATATGCAAAATGGTAGGAGAACAGGGAAAGGAAGAAACCCCACCTGATTAATTAGCAGACAATTGAACAAGATGTAGCAGATTTACCAAACTTGCATGATCAAAGTTTAGCAACAACAAATAACTTTCAAGGGCTCGTGGGCCTTGGAAAATAGAGAGAGAGATTGAGGGGGAGGGAGGGAGGGAGAGGGAGGGAAAGAGAGAGAGGGAGACAGACGATGTAGATCAAATGCAGGGTCAAATTTCAGAGGCAAAATAACTAGAAGGAACTTCGAAGGTGCTGCACTCTACAGAGGGAAGGCTTTTCCCGTTTAATTCTGTGATGCTTCCACCGCTAATCTTTGTTCCCAACATCTGGTTTGTTTATATATATATTTATTTATATGTTGAAACCCCTAACCTTCACATATGATCTATAGGGACAGCTGTGGCAAAGCCAGTCCTCCTCCTTTCAATGGGCCTGAGGTGTGTTTTGCTTTAATATGCCTCGAATATGTCATGGTAGGAAAAATTAGGGACCACTTAAGCCCTGCCAACTGGAATGGGGGAGGGGGGCGAGATTGCAGCTGGACAATTGGCTACAGGACAAAGCGCAGGGTCCACCCAAGACAATGTCACATGCTCTGGGCTTTTTGCATGCTCAGCCCAACATGTGCCTTGAATCAGGCACATCGGATGGAATGCAGAGAGTAAGGCCACCTCTGCAGCCATCCTGAAGTATATTTTCATACATGAGCTAAAGAGGTTCCCTTTCACTTAGACAATGAAGATCAGGAGTTGGGGGGAAATCCTAAGAGGACGTTTATTCCATTAAGCCTCTAAATATAAATAATATAAATATAAATATGAGGGGGAAAGTGCTCTTCTGTGCTCAGTGCAAACTGCACAGTTCCAGATTTGATTTGATATTCACCTGAAAAAAAAAGTGCAGGCAAAGACTTAAGAAGCAGGTGTTGAACTAACCTTTAAAAATTCAACTTTAACACTTCCCCCTCCACCCTCTCTCAGGACAACAAAGAGCTTTATTATATTCCCCAGTGCCAAAGCTCAAAAGACCTTAGGAATTTTTTTGGGGGAAAGTAATAAAATACTCAAATGCTTGCACTCTTCCCACTTTTTTGAAAGAAGCGGGGAGGCTGTTGCCTCATTCGGCTTGTCATAATACATCATTTTTGGCATTTACAATACAGAAATATTTGAGGAAGTAATGCCACTTCCAGAATGCAGAGAGCGTGAACACCGAAAGGGGCACACCCTGGCTGCCCAAATGAGAGCCATTAATACCATTTAGTTTACGGAGGGGCACTGCAGAAATATTTCTTTGGCTTGTGAGGGAAAGTTGCTGTGGATGATAGGCCTCCTCATATATCCCAAATCATTGAGGGTGAATGTCAAAATATCATTCTTAGAGGAGTTGCAGCCATTCCGTTCCTTTCTGTTTCGTTCCATTTCATTTTGTTCTGTTCAACTAGCTAAAGAGCAGATGCGTATTATGAGTAGTACTTTTCCTTCTGTTCAGGACTAGCTTCACTAGGGTTGGAAGAACCTTTCAGGTTGCTGCTTTTATTGCAGTTTTGCATAGCTGTAAGAGTTTAGTTTGTTTGTTTAAAACTTTTTTAGACCGTCTCTTACCATGGCCTCGGGACAGTTTAACAATAAGACAAAATAAAATAGAACACAGCATCCTAAGACGAACAATAAAACCCATATTAAAACAGTCAAGATGGGGAAAATAAAAAGGGGTTTAGTCTGGTGCCAGAAAGAATAAAGTGACAGCACCAGGCAAATCTCTCTGGAGAGCGTATTCCACAATCGGGGTGGCACCACAGAGAAGGCCCTTTAAGGAGGGCAGCCGGAGAAGGCAGGCACATGTGGAAGGAGACGCTCCTTCAGGTTTAGGGCTTTATAGGCTCACCAGCCCACCCTGTCTCAGGAAGACCATGCCTGCCATGGTCCTGGCCATGCTCACCACCATGTGGTCCAACCCTGAAACCCCCTAACTGGGGACGAGTGGTGGATCTCTCCCTACATCATCCTAAGAGGAGACTGGTCCACAGCGGGGAGTACACCGCAACCTTACCACTCTGTATCTTGCCTTACAGTTCTCCCTGCTCTCTCACTCTACGGACTGCAAAGCCTTCCCTGGTGGTGGAAGATGGTTCTGCAAGCTTCAACCACAAGGATCCAGTCAAACCAATTCACATTAAGGAATGCATCAAATGCCAAACAACCTAACTCCAAGCCCACCACCCCAGAAACTCCTTGGCATCCACAACCAGTTTCAGGGGTCAGAGTTCCACACTTGCAGTGGTGCTTAATGGATAGATGGACACATGGTTTCCTGCTACTACATACCTGTCACACCTGCTTCAATTCCTAATCTGGAAGCTGTGCACTTGCAAAGGTCTATGCACTTGTTGGCCCCCACATGAGGGTTGCCAGAATTTCCGTGCCATTCCCACCAGGGTCTCCGTGAAGTTCTCTTGCATCTGAAGGTACCCACAGGACGGCATCAGGGTCCCAACCTGGGGTGCCCATGTCACAGTGCACAGGAGTGAGAATTTGGCTCAGGCAACCTTCTGGTTGCAGACTAAAATTTTAAACTAGGGTGCTGAAGCTCCTTCAGGCCATAGGTCAGATTCCACTTGAAGAGCTATCGAGGGCTGCATTCTTAGTCAGCAGAGCTAAAAGCAAAAATGTTCTGGGAAGCAAAAGCAGAACAGGCGGGGCAGAATGCCAAAAATTTAAAAACCTAGCCTATTTTAGCTTACAGCTCTCAACCTTAGGAGAAAAATATGCTAAGACACTAACAGTTGACTACTTAGACCAGGAACGCACTCAACACTTGCAGTTGGTGCTCACCCCAGCAATAAATAAATACATACATATAAAATAAAAAAATAGGAGGCTGGAAATCAGAGAAAGAGACTTCTCAGTGATGGCATCGTGTGTGTGAATTCTGGCCTAGTTGCCTGGCATCTCGCTGAGCTAGTTTTAGGTGCCTGGCCATGCTATTTTAGCTAGTCCAGGCCTTCTGCTGATTTAGAGCTTCCACGGCACAGAATGTTCACCAGCCCGTCAGTTCCTCCTCTGTCACCATCTTTACCATAATCTTATTTTGATGCTTATGCTTTTGTTTGCGAGCCCTGCTGGAAAGTCTGCTCTGAACACAAGATTAAAAAGCAAAGAAAAAAGAGTAAATCAAGAATCTCATATGCATCAAGGTGCCATTTATCTGCACAGAAAGCCATTTCCACAGATTTCGTGAGATAAATCTACTCATTTTGGCCTTTGGGGTCAGAGAAATATCCATACTGAAGAGACTGAAATGGGTTAGGGAGGAAGATGAAGTAGCTGTTACTTGCCCTGGAACTGCTTTGCATTTTGTTAAGGCTGCTCTTGAACTTCCCTGGGAATGGGGTGGGAGACAGGGAGCTGAAGGCATGGAACATTTGAATACGGTATCCACCATGTTGAAGCTAAGGAGGTCTGGGACGGGACAGAGCTTGGAGGGGAGACCACTGGGAACTGCAAGGAGCCACCTTGAGTTCCATAATGGGAGAAAGGTGAGATATAAATATAAAAAATATTGTTATCTTTTATATTGTTATTTATTTTATATTGCTAATTTTATATTGTTATTTTTGTATTTTATTGTATTTTATTTTGTGTTGTAAGTCGCCCCGAGGCTTCGGCAAGGGGCGGCATAGAAATATTTTAATAAATAAATAAATAAAAATATAATACTAGCCTTAGAAATCCACACCTCTTCAGAATTTGCAATGTCATGTTCCAATTAAAAAATAAAATAAAATGGGGTTACATTCAGGGAAATGCACACACAAAATGTATGTATTAAGCAAGAAGATATAGGAGAAATGCATACATAGAGGTTCTCATGTCAACTTTTTTTAAAAGTCCAGTGTTCAAACCAAGCGGAACATTGGAAAAAGTCTGTGATCTTCAGCAAGAACCCAGTCCAAGATTTGTAAACTAAGAGAAATTCAGTGCAGAAATGATAGAAACAGAGAAACTGAAATTAACATATTGACAGAATCAGAAAAACACAGGTGGGTAGATTTCTCCATTCCTACCTAGCATAAAGTAGCAGTCTCCCTGGTAAAGGGGTACAGCCAACCCTGGGGTCTCAATATCCCAAGCTACTTTCAAAGCAACATGCCACGTATCTGGGTCTCTGCCGAGCGGCGTCTCTCCCTCAAGGGCATCAGCACCAGGTTCTGCAAAAGAAAAGCACTCAACAGAAAGTGGAAATAGCATATTTGCTTCAGGATGTTCTTGCTTGAAAGGAGAAACCACTGTTCCATTTCAGTGTTCAGAGAGACTTGAGAGGGAGTTAATGAAATCAGAAAAGCCACACTGAACTTCAAGTGTTAAGGGTACTCTCACAAAATGCTTCCGTGGTACGGCAGACTACTATTGCCAGTCATAAAGTGCTCCTTTGCCAGAAGGCAAGCTACAGAGACTGAGGAGAAGACACTTGCCCAAGAACTTAGGAAGAAGGCAGCAGGTAACTTACATGGTGGGAAATGTTCCATTTCAAAAGGAGGAGAAGTCTCCACCTGATACCACCATAGTGCAATCACTGTTCTAGTTTGGATTATTTTTAGTAATATCTTCTCCCTAGATGGGTTTTGCTAGCAGCTCTGAAAAGAACATCCCAGATGTGGCTGTGTAGGAGCCTGGCTACTCCCAAATCAGAACCTCAGATCATCGAGGAGAGCACTGTCCCTAGAGAGAATGCATGGCCTTCCAGATGTTGCTGGCTGGGAGTTGCAAGTCTGGCAACATCTGGAGGATCACACATTCTTACACTGCTGTCCTACAGTGGCAGTTCCACAGGCATCGATCGGCCAATTTATTTTACTACTACTACTACTACTCTACTATTATTATTATTATTATTATTATTATTATTATTATTATTATTATTATTATAACAACATTTCTATGCCGCCCCTTGCCGAAGCCTCGGGGCAGCTTACAACACAAAATATAGGTTCCAAACAGCCAGCAGGACTGCGCTGAGTGATTTTAAACAAACCATGCAGCAATAAAAGAAAACCACTAAAACAGGAAAGCGGCTTTTTTTTTAATAGACAAGGATCTTTCCCAGATAATAGACAAGGATCTTTCCCAGCCAAACCTGGAGATACCAAGCTTGAACTCAAAACCCTTTGCAATGCAGAGCAGGGGCTCCACCCCGTTGTGCTACAGCCCAACATTTTTATCACTTTGGAGTTACTGACATTTTGAAAGCAAGCAGTAACGTGCTTCCCATTGTTTGCAAAATAGCACAGTGGGAGTAATCAGATTCAATTGCCGAAGATAATTACAAGCGGCCTTATTTGTGAGCGATGGCAACGGCAGCATGTGAGCGCCATTTGAACTCTGTGCTCAAGCAATCATGGGTGGAAGGGACCATCCAACTGCAAAGAGAGAGAGGGGAGAGAGAGAGTTGTTTTAATGAGTGAATTCCAAAGATGCTGGATTTATGAGGGAACCCCAGGAAGCATCGACTGAAATTGCTGTCTCTGATCATAGTTCCAGATTTTATTGAGACCATATTGTACACAGTGCATGCGTACGAACGCACATGGGGAAAGCAGGAAAGCAAAGATGATTGCCCACAAAAGGTGACCCGTTGGCATATGCTATTCAGGTTGGATTGCATTTGAAGTGATGGGAAAGTAACCATGTCCATGCCCACGTTTTAGAAGGTGTTTCTTCATTCTTAAATATCCATTTAAGAACAATTCATCCAAAAGCAAAATAGAAAATATGGCAGACCTCCTGAAAGAAGTCAGTATCAATTTTTGTGTTGGTGCTGCTTTTAAAGTGCCTTGCTAGCGTGTCTTGACATCAAAAAGTAAGATAGTCTGCTGTTTCTCTTGAAGGAAAAGAACACTTTGGGAATTGGTTGCAAGCAAACACTTTTTAAAAAGGGATGTTTGGATACCTTCTTGATTTTTTCCTTCTTAAAATCAGCTGGGAAATTATTTTCATATTTTACGACTGACGTGTAAAGCCCCAATCTAAATAAACATAGTACAGTCTCAGGTGATGGATGGTTTGAATGCCAAGAAGGCAGGAGGTCAGTGCTGGTCTGTCCATGTGTATGAAATAATGAAAGTGATAAATCTTTCCTCTATCGCACTTTTTATTTATTTATTTGTACTATTTTGAGGGCTGAAAATTAATTAGGACAACAAAAAAATGTGGGAAATATTGCACCAACACCTGTTTGAGTGGAGAACATAACAAATTCACTTCTCTAATTAGGGCTTCATTTGTAAAAAAGAAAAAAGAAAGAAACTAAGATGATTACACAGAGAACATATGCTTCTTAAACACCTCTCTCTCCTCAGCAGCAACAAAAGCAAAAATAAGGTGTTCACCTGGATAAACAAACCTGTGTTGATTAACTGTTTCTTTGAATTATTAATTTTGCATGTAGAAAAGAACAATAATTTTGGAACAACCCTCCCCTTCTTTCTTTGATTGAATATTGTATCGATGTATGGTAGCAAAAAAGATCACCTTAGAGGAGTTCTGAGCAAATGAATGGGGGAACACCTCTTGTCCTCTCCTTTTATACAGAAGCCCTGTGAGTTAGCATTTCCCCCATACTGGAGGTGGTGGGACTGAGAGTAAAGAAAGGCTTCTGAATTCCCAGCAGAAGCAAGATCCAACTGGAAACTTTCTGCTCGGTAGATCAGTCTCTTGTCCCAAATCTTGTCTAGATTTTGGGGAACTGGAGAGAACACAGTTGGGTGTGAAGCAAAAGGCACAAGTAATAGGTATGCAGACCAACTCTGCTGTACGTACTTAATCTTCACTTCTAACGAATCTCTGGCACACCTGCACAAGTGCACAAATGTGTTCATATGAACATTCACTACCTCACGAGGAGGTCATACAAACAGAGCCAAAGTGGGGAGAACAGGTATGCTGCTCTTCTGGGAGGAGCAAATAATGGTATGATAAGCAACATCTGTCCATGTACCAGGTACAGGTGCTGGAAGACCATAAGCTGGCTCTGCCATTGGACAGAGTGAAGCAGTGGCCTCAGGTGGCAGATTCTGGGAGGTGGCAGCAAGATATTGGAGGAGAGCATTGTGGGCCTCCCTGAACCAGCCAGCTGCCTTCTCGGGCAGTGGAAGATGCTTCCTCCTAGCCAGTGCCAAAAAACTGCCAATCCGCTCAGCTTTTGCACAAGGAAGGGTACCATCTCCGCCTCGGCCTCTAGCAGCAACAATGACTTCCTGGACTCCATGTCCCTACAGAAGTGCAAACACAGGTTCCTTTCCTAAGAGGTGCATAAACAAAGACGTTGATTAGATGTTTATCTTGCTGTTCCTCAAGAGGCAATGTACAGCACTGAGGAGGCTGATCCTTGGAACCCTGGCAGATGTCTAGGTTGCCTGATGGATGCTCAGCGCCCCTCCTAGGCAAGGATGCAGGCACACTTTCAGCAGAAGGCCACCTTCATTTTGGAGTCCTTGGGGAATGCACCCCAGTGGCACACGGGGCAGGTGTATAACACCCCAGACACCATCCTATCTTAGCTTAAAGCGGTTCCTCAACCACTTATGGAGCATGAGGGCCATATCAGCCCTTTAGAATGAGGAGAGCTCAATGCACAATAGCCAGGATTTTGTGAGATGGTGGCCAGGAGAAAAGGGGATGAGTTAAGGCTGTTAATGTAACCCTGGGAAGATTTGATGCGTGGGCTTAAGGTTCTGCACAAGTGTTGCAGGCATTGTCTTCTGGTCATTCCAGAGGTGGCATCTTTAAACGCCTCCTGGGGGAAGCAGAAGGGAGAAAGTCACCAATAACAAGTCTCCTGCAGGCTGTACAAATTACTGTTAACTGACCTTGCATCTATTAAGCAACAAATTCAGGGAAGCCACTGGTCAATTATCAATCCACTAGAACATTCCAATTGGATTAGAAAGTCATTAACAATGAGAAAGCTGTCGGTATTTCCCCACCCAATCACAGCTGGAGTAGAAATTAAGTAGCAGTTGTTCAGATTAGCTCATTTTTTTAATGTAATAATGACAAAGTATGCTGTGCAGGAAAAAAATACAAATTGTATGTTATGGAAATCAAAAGTAATAGGACTTTCACAACAGGTCACCATCGTAGTCAATCACTGGTTTGTTAGCCTGTTAAACATTAACTTGTCAACTAACACATCCAGTTGTTTATTACTCTAAGATTTACACACTCAACTAAGCCTGCGGGGGCAGCAGGCCAAGAACAATACCAGGCAAAGCATCTACCCAGAAGAAAATCGCTTCTGCACATTGAAACAGATGATTCGTGTTTTGAGTGCATACTATAGAATTCCACAAACTGGAATTCTACAGTATTTATTCATACCGGAGATCTCTGGCCTTTCTTCCTACCAATCTACCAAGCGATGCAGGTCTTTGGATGGACTTCTCTGGTGGTTCCATATAGACCTTTGGCCTAACTGGAGTCCACCAAGAGAACACCTTTCATTGTATCGGCTCCATCTCTGTGGAATTTCCTGCCTCTTGAGGTCAGGCAGGCACCAACCTTGTATTGTTTTTGGCACATACTTCCTGAAAATAATTTTATTTCAGGAATCCTTCCCCAACTATCCAGCCACAGCATTATTGATTTTGCTGGGTTTTTGTCATGCTGCATTCTTGTTCCATCCATTTGATCTTTTATTGTTCACTGTTCCAAAATCTTCATACCGAAACAAGGGGCAGTACATAAATCTTATGCATAAATGAATGGGTTCATTTACTGAGCCCATTTTCATCATAAAAACTAATCCGTTTTAGCAAATAAGGCCACTATCTGTGATAGATGCATTTACTACCCCTCTTAAACCCACTTTGTGATTTACAAGGTGTTGGAATTCAGACAAATCTTCTCCCATTTGAAACGGTGAATATCTATATCACTTCTGATTGAAGTGAAGTCATCATTTTATCATCCTTAATAATGTTATTGTACCATCAAATTTATTAAGAAGAGTTTCTACTCTGCTTTTAACCCAAACAAAAAAGGCTGCTTGAAAAGGCTCACGGTCAGTCACCCAACGATAACAATGACAAGAATAATCAGAAGATGATGGTGGAGGAGCAAACGGCTGGGTAAAAGCAAGAGCAAAGTAACCCAAACACAACGCAAAGGAGCAAAAGCGGCTTTGTGTCGCTGATGGTAAGGGGTCGATAATAGTCTGAATGTCATTCATTGGTTTAAAACCAGGTCTTTGGCTTCAAGTCACTAGTCAGTAAGAAATGGAGTGCACCCAGTGATAAAAGAAATGCCAAAGGCATGCTTACTCCTGAAGAGGGTCAATGCCCCCTACAGAACCATAGCAGAATTCCATTTGGGGGGCAACAGCTTTAGATTGTCAAAACGTAGTGATGGGTGAATATTAAATTCACATCTCTTGGTCTGCGTTCCCGAAAGATTTACAACCTTAAAAGCTATTAGCTTAAGCAGACTAGTGAATTCCACCTGTCATGAGAGTACATGAAATAGGAGGCAGCCTCCAACTGCTAAGACTCAAGTTTTAAGGAACGACATAGATCAATGTCAACAAGTTTAATTGTATACCCAAATGCAAACAGGAAGTTGGAGCAGCTGCTGAGAGAAAACTGGTGTGACGTGTTTTTCAGCAGCAGGCATCGCTGGTGTTAAGGATCGGGGTGACCCCAACAAAGGGACACCTGCAGAGACTTTGTTCTGAAAATGTCATAACCTTGGAGTTGGAGATGATTGAGTGTGGTAGCATTCCATTTATGGAGTAAGGGCCACCACGTTGGCCTAAAGCCCCCTTGAGACCAGGTAGGACGGAAAGGTTGGTGTATCCTCACCTCCCAGAGCTGCCTCCCATGAGATGCTCCTCCTAAAGTCAAGTTGGTGTCTCCACATGGCATCCATGGACTCCAACATGCCTGTGATGGGCTTCTTGGGGCCCCTTCAGACTCCTTGGCCATCCTGATTTTTATTTTCTGGTTTAATTTCTCCCTTTTTTTAAACTGGGAGGCCAGCATGCGACAAGGCAAAAGGGCCACCCCTCCAGCGTCCTCGCTATTAGGGTTCTCAAGAACGTGTTTGTGTTTTGGAGCTGAGATCCCACCTCTGCCTTGTATTCAGTTCTTGAACAAGTTATTTCTCTTGTAGCCTCATCATTTCCCCCTCTGGGTGCAGCACATCTTGTGTTGTGCTCACATTCCCCAACTTAGTGCCTTCCCAAAGTCTTGCATTCCCAGAAGCTCTCAGCCAGCATGGCCAGCAGTCCAAAACCTCTGCAAGTAAACAGGTTGGGGAAGGGGGGCTATATCTCCAATATAACATGGATTGTGCCCTGATCTAAGCTAACATCTCAGCTCAGGTTGGCCAAAACCGAGTGGTTTACAGCAGCCACCTGATATAGTTCGAACTTCATCCTAGAGCTGAGGGAATGAAAGCCAGAGTCAGAATCGCCTCTCCTGGAGCCCTTCCTCCTGGGAGAAAAGCTGATGGCGGCAGCACAGGTAAGATGCTTCAAGCACCTGTCCCCCTTCCTCCCTGGGCATGCACCTTTGAGTCAACCTCCCTCTCTCAGCAGGTTATGAAGTGCTAGGAAGCCCTGGGGGAAAGGGGGATGCCAACAGCTTCTGTACTCTGCAGTATACAATTACCTGCTATGGTTGTTGTCCAAATTATGTTGTGATGAATGGAGCACTGCAGCTAGAGACCGTGGCCCTAGAAGTCTGGTGAACCATCACCAGAGTTCAGTTTTCATCCCTGAGGCCTCCAGTCTAGCTGGATGTGCTGCATCTGTGAATATGAGTCGTTCACAACCCTCAACCAAATGGTATCTTTCCACAGTGGACCATTTCTTACCTCTGTGTGCTCTGCTTTATACTGGAGAGAACTTGAATATTAAACCTAACTGGAGGTGCCCCAGCTTGACCGATGCAGCCTCCCATGATTTTAGTTCAAGCTTAGTTCTACTCTTCGCTTATGTTCATTATTCTGTAATTAGTTCTGTGCTAAGCCTTCCTGCAAAAGATCACTTGGGAAGGGAAGGGAAGGGAAGGGAAGGGAAGGGAAGGGAAGGGAAGGCCTAACATATTTAGAATGCCTCTTTTAACTATTCACAATTGCCATAAGAGTTGCAAAAACGGACTCTGCACTGATTGATACAAAGATCATTATGACATTCTGCTCAATTGTGCTAATCGCCTCTGCTTAATCAACCTATTAGCAAGTAGCAACCATTTTGAAAAGTTTCCTTGGATTTGCAAAATGAATGGGCTACTGCCACGTTCAGCCAAGCAGAGAAACACAAGGCAGCTATTGATCAAACTGGGCTGAGAAATTGAGAAACAAAGAAACTTTTGTGAAGGTTAACACTATCATATAACAGCACTCCGAGTACATATTCTGCCAGGTGTGCTCCCCTGCTAGGGAGAGATCCTGAGGATTCTGGCACTTCCAATAAGGTCTGGACAGCCAAAGAGATATCAGCACAGCTCAGGAAGCACTCAGCACCTTGAAGAATGAGGCCCCGATTTAGCCAAAGTCACCTTTTTCAGGGGCTGAGTGGAGAAATCCTTCAGTAAAGTGGACTCTCCTGTTACAAAGCTCAGAAAGGATCTCCCATGTTCAGACCCTGAAGTTCAAGCTAGTGCAATAAGTAGGACAACTCAGAAACCATCTGCTCCAGAAGCGGTCTTCTCTTTTCTTTTTCTGGTCTTATAAAGAAGTGTCACAGCATATGCTCTCTACGGTGCCTCCTAAATTAACCCAGAGTGCAGGTCCCCACCCATGTTCCTCGTCTCTGGTATCCATCCAGTCCCCTGTTATTTCAGTACTGATCTTGGGATGAGATGCATCTTGCACCAGCCAGTGCTGTCTCCTGAGACAGATGGCTCGCAAAGATTCCTGCCGCTGCCCCCTCTACCCCCAGGGAACCTTACCAAAGTGGGAAGCAAGAGCTGAGGGAAGCCAGGGTGTAGCAGGTACGCAACACCTACAGTGATGGAGGAGCAGAGGAACGCCAGAAGTCAGACTTGGTGCCCACCAAGCACAGAGTCAGGGACATCCACTGGTCCATCCAGTCCAGCACCGTCTGTGCTATGAGGATGTGATTCTCCAGGGGTTCAGGAAGGGATCCCCCAGCCCAAATGGATGATGCTTAGGGATGGAAACTGGGATCACAGAAGGACCACAGCTCAGCAACAGAGGACATGTTTTGCATGCAAAAGGCTCAAGGTTCAGGCACTAGCTTTACCGGGTAGATTTAGTGAAGGATCCCGGAGTGCAGCTGCCAGTCAGTGTTGACAATATAGGCCTCAAGGGACCAAAGGTTTGACTCAGTAGAGGGCAGCTTCCAATGTCCCAGGCTCCATCCCTTCCCCAAAGAAGTGTAAGCCTTCAAAGCAGCCATCCCCAGGCTCTTTTGCCAGCACCGATGGGCAGGCACAGGTGTGCAGGATCCTTGAAATCTTCTCTGGAGGGTGCAAGTTCAGGAATTACCGTCACTGAAAGCCGTATTTCAGAAGCTACTGGCCAAGAGGCAGGCTATAAACATCTTACTTTTTAAAGGCCGAACAGGAACTGCATTCCACTTTCCCAGCAACGGGTCTGCTGAGCTCTAAGATGCAGCTTCTGACTGGACCAAAACAGTTTAGCATGCTGGGACAAGAATCTATGCTCTGTTGAGTAAACAGGGGGAAATTTCCTCCAGATCTACAACAGAGTATTCTGCGCAAGCAAATACATTAAGAAAACCGTCAAGCCACGGTATCTGTTGTATTTCTTTTAAAGTCACATTCACAGCCTTGGAAATAGGTATCTGTGGGAACCTGACGGGTAGAGATTGGACAGATTTTATTTTCTTGGCTCCCCATCAGCAGGTTAATTTCAATCCACTTTTTTCAACTTTTTCCAACCCACTTAAACCTGTTCCAAAGAAAGCCACCTGCATCCAATGTTTCACATCCGCTTCCTCCCTGCTTCCCCCTCCCCAACACAGACATCCAGAAGCTAGCGAGGGACAAATAAGCAGGGGGAGTGTGGTCTTGCACACCACATGGCAAGGTAGCTCAAAAGCTGGTCTTCGGATCGTAAGGCATGAGAACCGCAGTAGATGGAGCATTTATTGCCAACACAGAGCGGCAGCAAATGGTCTCCAGGGCTTCAGGTGAGGCCCTTTCCTAGCTCTCCTGAGAGATGCCAGGGATTCAGCCTGAGATGCCGAGCAGCTGCTCTTCCCTCTGGACTACAAGGCCTCTCTCCACAAAGGGCCGGGGATGCCTCTTTATGCACACACAGCGGGAGACAAGGCGGCCTTGGGTGGATTCCGTGAGACCCAGCATATCGTTTGCTTTCCGCCCACCCTGCTTTACCCACCTTCACAGCAATAGCTGTAGACAGCGACCGTTGACCTTTCCACTAGGTTTTCATCACGGTGCCAGCTCACAGCCATTTTCCCCATTCCAAAATAGGGCTCGTGTTTCAAGGACGGCATTTGTTGCGGATCCATATAATTTAATAACGTCAGGTTGTACAATGTTCTCTCTTTCAGGTCAGTACCGTCATTCTTTGGGATGTGAGAAGGGCTTTGATCTTGCAAAGCGGACCCCAACTCGGTAATGGAAGTAGCATTATCCTGATGTCTCACGGTGACAGCAGAATCTTCCGTTTCGTTTCTCTCGGCCAAACTCTGCTCCTGCAAAGCCCGGATGGTTTCTCTGTGCAGGTAGTCATTAAGTCTGATTAATGCCTTACACGCCATGGATATTTCAGAATGGGAATAATTTATTTCATAACCTTCCACAGGCCAGGGGACCGTAAATAACCTTGTGCTCAAATATTTGTAAGTACATCCTGGGTTTCCAATTAATATCCGAGATACGGGGGTAACGAAATCTTTCCCTTTGATCCATACAAGATCTTGGAAGAAACAACTGTGCTTTTGCAAAGTCAAAAAGGCCTCTTGAACCGCTGTGTGGATCTCTTTGGGAATCTTCCCAGCATTTCTGAGGATGAGTTTTGAATATTTTGTCTTCCACTAAAAAGAAAAAGGGGGAAATCACATTGGAGTTATTTTAAACCCAGAACAGATGCATACTTGAAGCCTCTGTTATAAGCTATTCAGTAAATAAATACATAAACATAGGAAAAGGAAGGAGGAGGTGGTGATGTTGTCCTCTTAAAATATCATAGGCTAAAAAGCTCTTTGACACCTGAGATAATCTTTATTCTTTTCCACCATGCAGTGGGTTGATTTCATGAAAGGCCTTGTTACGTTCCCAAAGATTTTGACATATTACCAGACGTTGCTGAGCAGGGCAGGTCTTGAGCGGTGGGTAGATTTCAGAACATGCCTTGAGAGGGGATGATTTGGTGAATACACCATGCTGGCTTAACATCGAACACTGATCTTAAATGGGCAGCTGGTTCGTGACCTAACCTAGGATGGGTTTCACCAGGCCTGGAACCACAATTTCTCTTCTTTCTAAACCTTCTTCTAAGAGAAGAAACAAGAGAAGGACGTGAGTCCAAAGAAAGGTGACAATAGGAAAGAGGAAACCTGGATTAGGTCGGAGGAAAATGAAAGGGAATGTCCAGTTAGCTGAGTTGGGGAGGAGTTCATGGGAAGACCTAAAAGACCAGTTCAGTGTTAGGCTCCGATAAACGGTCTGGCCTCCTGTGGCATACTTTTCAGGCCCTCATTAGGTGATTAGATATGTTCATGGATGATAGGTCCACCCAGGTCTGTCATACACAACTGCTTTATGGAATCACTATGTCCAAGAGATCGTGGCATGGAATGTCAGTGGATGCAAGAAAATAGCAGAGAAGGACTAATGCCATCATGGCCTGCTTGTGGGTTCTCTCAGGTATTTGCCCATTTTAGAAGAACATATGATAGACCTTTGGGCTGATCCATTTTGACTCAACAGGCTGACATTCCAGCATTACAATCGGGCTGCACTGTTGCAGGTTGGGGCCAAATGTGGCCCTTCGCTTCGTCAAGATTGGGAGCTGGCGGGCACCAAGACAATGCTCCTGATGGCCCACAGTCCTGGTATATTGCAGAGCTGTCCCATCCCATCAGCCCCAGGACTACACAGGCTGCCATTGAGTAAGTGGTTGTGTAAATCTATTCCTAATTAGAGAAGAAATGGCAGAAGAGCCTGAAAAAATAAATAAAAGAAAGCCCATTATGACATATCTAAGGCAAATATGCTTCACTTGTTAAAAGGCCATAACTTTTCACCCTCCTGTTAAAACTGGGAGCTAATAGGTTCCATATTTTAATGCCAGTCTACTGAGAGATGTGTTACTTTTTGGCTCGTGAACTAAAGATTACATGCTCCGAAAGCATTTTATCAATACATCTTAAAGAATGGCTCCAGGGTTTCTTTAAAAGAACCCTAAAAATGTGTGTGCGCACACGCATGCGCTTTAGAACATGCACGCACACATGGGTATCTCAAAAGCGAAAAAGAAAAAGGAAAAAGAGAAGCAGGAAATGGAAACACATTTCCAACACATCATCTGAAAATGCCGGTCAGTCTTCTTTAATTCTCCAGCCAGTCATCTTGCAATGTCCTACATAAGGAAAGCATTAAGAGATCAGAAGACAAAGAAAGGGGAAAAGATGGAAAGGAAGGCAAAACATACACATGCCGTGAAGCTCATACTGGACACTTTTACTGATTGAAGGGACCAAAATCATGTAGTTTTTGCTTTATCTCTGACAGCTGATATTAAAGGTCACCTCATGCTCCATGCAGATAAAAGCAGCCATGTGACCTGATGCTGCCAACAAGCATGCAAAACATTTCGTGTTTAATTTTCCAGCGTGTCCATTATCCCAGTAGAAAATGTAACTCAGCCACTGGAGGCCCTGCTGGAGGCCCTGCTCCAGATTTTCAGCCATCTTCAAATCACTGAGTTTCATTTCCAGGGAGCCACGATGACTTCTTCACGCAAGGGGCAGGAGCAAACCATAACCCAGTGAGGTCACCTCTGCATGAACAAGCCAGCACTTCAGTTCTATGGAGATAATAATGTTCCACTCCAGGAAGACATCTGCACATGGATTGTGATTTGCTGGGTATGATGTCCTCTGCCTCCATCAATATGGCAGCCACTTTGCCCTTCCCTTCCCATGTTTTAGGATGATCTCTCAGCTTTCAGCTGGTTCTGCTCTCTCTGAGATACATTTTCATGCTGCCTTAGACTACACTTGTTTATTGTTCTTAGTGCTGGAAATTGTTTCATGTCTTGTTATGAGCTGGCCTGAGAACACCGCTGCAGATATTGTTAATCAACAACGGAAACAACCCTAGGATGCTGCCACCGAGTTATTCCATCGGTCCATGTAAACAACCCACTGAGTCATTCCATTGGACCATCCAGCTCAATATGGGGTATAGCAGGGAAGTAGAACCTTAGGCCAGCAACCAAATTTGGCCTTCCGGGAGGTCCAGTCAACTCCCAGGGGGTGCTTAGATGGCCATACACCCTTTTTCCTGTAACCAAGAAGTTTCTGCTTACCCCCAGCTGGTTTCCAGGCTTTGGTTTCTCCACTCAGAGAAGAGGTAATGTGTCTCTTTCCAGCATTTCATGCTAAAATATTCTGACACATGGGGTGTTTTAAAGCTCCCCTCCAATCTTTTGCCAGGGCCCTTGGGATCTTCTCTAAAACTAAATTCAGCCCTCCTCTCAGCTCTTCAGTTCCTCACTGATGGGTAGCAACTCTCCAGCCTTGAAGAAGACTTCTCCTGCACTTTGTGGAGGTGCTTGGGACGGCACACACAAATCATGTGTTCTGTCACTGCACTACAGGCCTTCTCTCAACTGCCATAATATTATCTGAAAGTTTTGTGCTTCAGCTCAAAGAGGAAGGAGGGTTACAGTCTGTTTTGACAAAGAAATAGAAAGGGCGAGGGGAAAAGTTCCTCCTTCCTGTATCAGTGGGGGGAAAAACCAGACCATTTGTTTTTTTAAAGATGCTACTTCATATGCATCTTTCAGCCACATGTCAATACAAGAAAGTTGACATGGCAATAATGTAGGAAGTCCTGCTGTAGCTGTTCAAACTAAGTAGGAGATTCCTTTTTATGTCTTTCATCTCACTCAATATGTTCCAACTTAGCTTGACTGAACTTACCCAACTCTTTCCATGTGTTTCACATTTGACCAGAGTGTTGTCGAAGAGAGACACAGCATATTCTTCCGCTTCTTCAATAACACTCCTTCTCCATACCCATTTGGATTATATATGTGTGTGTCATTATCAGGCTAGATTTTCTTTTCTTATTAAGAGTCAAATGATTGGATGATTGGAAGGGCCAGAAGGTTATCAAGTCCAAACCGCACAGTTCTGAATCAACTTCCTCCTCCTCACACATACACAGATTCACCCAAATAATCCAGACTGCCGTGTCTGACAGACAAAAGCAACCCAATTTTTCCTCCATCGCATGCCCGCCAGGAACAGAATGAGTCACCCTGGTTTAAAAGCAGCTCACACTCCCATTGAGCTCTGCATTCTCAAAGAAAGTTAGGTAGGTCATCTCTCATGACCATTCTTCCGTTGCAATGTACAAACCTTGGGAGGAACCAGGATTATTTTAAACGTGCATTCAAAAACCAACTGGATAATGTGGGAAGACGCAGAACATTTTTCTGTCTAAACAGGCTAATATTTTAGACATTTTTCTGTCTAATATTGTACCTTAAGAAACAAGAAAAATGCATTTGCAAGACTACATTTCACAAAGTATCTAGCATTACCAGTTGGTAGAAACCATCATCCTTGGGTGTCAAATATGGCAGCCAGTTCTCTCCAAGTTCATCCAGGAGCTTCCGTTTCTAAAAGATGCAAAAGAAACGTGTCACAGTGAGTTTTAAGAAAAGCACCACTGATTTCTGAGCAGCCAGATGTTTAACCACAAAGTGTGAGGTGGACAAGTCCTGTCCCTCCAGATGTGTCGTCCTCCAACTCCCCTACCACTGGTTGCCTGGCTAGAACTGATCGGGATGGCAGGCCAAAATGCCTGGAGGGCCCCAGTTTGTCCAGAAGTGCACTAGGCCCTCCCATCTGTCTCAGCTTGGTAAAGCTCAGCCATGGTTTTGTCCTCCAGCCGCTTATCCTAGGACTGAAAGTGAGATGGGTCTAGAGCATCTGCTTTTGCCAAGATCTTTGTGCTCCCAGGGCCAGTTCAGCTATCACTCACTTGATATAAACAACACATGGGCAACTTGAGGACCCACCTGGACCAAAGGGGTGGAAAGGTAAGAATATTTAGAATGAATGGATCCCAATGTAGGCTTTACAATCCCTACTGTGAAGACTTTCCTTTGGCGAGAGTGCTCAAACCCTTAAAGTGTTACTTCAATAGGAGAAAGAACAAGATTGATATCTTGCAGGTTTTATTCATGAGAAAGTGGGAAATGAGCAAAAATTTCAATATGGTATATGCGGTATTGTAAGATGAGCTTCAGTTTTGCATTTCTCTTTGAGGGCATTGCTCTGCTCCTGTTTGAAGTATTTTTACAAACCAGGTCATCTCATTTGCTAGACCAGCTTTTCCAAACCACTTATCCCGTAAGGAGGGATGGGACCTCCATGGTCACTTAGGGTAGGCATGCTGAAATGAATGGGACTTAAGTCAGGTATTACTAAAATGTCCCACTGCTTTGAAAATGTCTGCTCTAAGCTCTTCAGGTCCTAACCCAGGAACTCAGATCACCCCAGTTCCAGAACCACTATTGTCAAATTCCAACAGCAACTTCCTCAACATTCCTTCTTTGTGCTGTTGATTCCTCCCTCTTATCTCAATATTCCAACCTCAAAGGAATTTTCTCCTGCCCTCCCACTGGCTTCAGGAAGATGAAGGTGAAGAGAAACAGATTACGGGTTGGATTTAGACTCAGTTCTGCCAAGAGTACACCTGCTGACATGGAAAAGAAAACACTCACCTAAAACAAATAGAACTGAAATTAGGCTTGACTGAATTGTCCCACTGCTTTCAGTAAGTCTACTGAAGTCTGGATCCAACAACTTAGAAAGAAGACCTGCAGTGCAAATTTACTCAGATGTTCTACTCTGCTGAATGCCAATTAGGTAAAAAAATTATACAAAGGTTTGCAGTCTATGGGTATGCGGTTCATTTGCAGGATTCTCGGTTGTGCCCTGAAGAGGGAAAATAGTAACAATAACCTCTTCTAATGCAAAAGAGGAAAGCAAAAGAGGAAAGAGAAGCAAAAAGCAAACTCCTATTTTCTGAGAAAGGATCCAACACAATTCTTCCCCGCTAACATCTCTGGATTTGTTTCATGTTCCTTTGCTTATCTTTATTTTCTGTGTCATATTACAGGGCTAATGGATTTTTAAACCTTACTATACTTAGGGAAATGGCATTTTTCAAGTGGAATCATTTGCTTTGAAAACCCATACTTTGGCCTATGTGGGTTTTTCATACAGTCTCCGCCAACTCCGACCACCAAAGAGAGAGAGGGAAAAACAGAAGCAATCACTCCTCTGCAATCAACTTGGCCTTTGCCTCACGCAGATCGAGAATTACATGCTCCAAGAAAGCTTATCTGTTGTCATTTACATACCAACCAGACTTTGCCTTCAGTAGGAGAACTCAACATGCTGCTGTACTTCAACCCGAACAACACAAGTAGTTGAACGTGGGAACAGAAACACCAAATAATGTAATAGCCACGCAATTCCAGGAGGTGGTGCTGGAAATTGGTTGCCCTCCTTTGTGATGTGGCTCCATGCCTTTGACCCATGGGCTGAATTCAGTTTTGGAGAAGTGCTCAAGTGCAACATGGCAGTTGAGGAGGGATGAACCAAACTACCAAGCACAGAGAACCAGCATATTTTAGATTTCACCTTTTTTGGCAAGCAACTAAACCTTAGAAGTATGTCAACCTTTCAGAATGGAATGGAGAGAACATCCGTGAAAGACACATCGCTATCTGGGGTATCCCGAGCCAGCTTTCTATGTTCTCATTTCCTAACAATGCTAATAACAACTATAGCAAGTTGATCAGGAGCTGAGCCTGCCAGTTCACCATAAAGCCTAGATTTAAGAGTTTGCAACCGTAATGGGAAAACCAAAAGTTTTGTCCTATAACGTAGTAATTTGTTGCATTGTTGTATGGCAGATATTTCTATATTTGTTTTATTGTTGTATATCTCTTTTGGAAATGTATCTGGGATTTATTGTAAAATGTATTTGGAAAGGTATATTTGCTTTTATATTTGGCAATGTAAACTGCCCAGAGCATAACTTATGGGCTATGTGTGCAATATAGAAGTGTAACAGAATAATATAGTACCAATGTGCACCATGTTTATTCCAGTTTATCCACCACAGCTTCTCCCAATGAATCCCGGGAATTGTGGTTTTGTGGGTGCACTGGGAATTTTCTCTTAGATATTCCTCATTTTTTCCACAGAGCTAGTTTTCAAGGGCTCGCTGGGGCCAAAGGAATGGTTACTGATAGAACAACCTTAACCATATTAGGCAAGAAGTGTTGTTGTTTCTACACAGCTCAACAGCCAGTTTTTCTGGGCAGCTTTCAATTTTAATTAAGACTCCCGCTTTCACTTTAGCTTCTCATAGTATACAGTTTAAATGTGTGCGGGGGGCAGGTGTTTACCTTTTTTAAAATCTTCTTGGTTTTATTATTTTCAAGTTTATGGTCTTAATTCAATGTCTTTCGGCAGATAAATCATGGAACTGATTTCAGGTTCTGTCCATTTATTTTTTCTTTCAATATATATTTTGGAATAAGATGCAAACAGACGCCAACCAGCATCAACGGTGCGTCCGTTCTCTGCTTTAATTTCATAACGGGTCAAGTTACGGAAACAAGAGGTTGGGAGTTCACAGCCAGAGGTGGAGAAGAGCAAGTCCCAATCATGATTTTTCCTTTTTCAAATGCAGCGAGGGCTAGCACAAGCCGACAAATTGGCAAGTCTTTCTGAATCAAGTCCAGGTAGCACTGACTAATCCATTCCATATTTCCTTAACAGCAGCTCACTGATCCTAAGTGGACTGACAACTACTGCATTAAAATTTATAAAATAGACATGCAGCCTGATCTCTCTGAATTTACAGTTTACAGTCTTCTTTGGGGACGTATTATAAAACTGACACAGAGACACTGGTGAAACCAAGTGGAATGTTACTTTAGATTAAGTTGGCAGGCAACACATTAGTGCGTTGTATGATTTCCAAGAAGCAACACTCATTTAAAATAAAACTATATTGCAAAGTAATATGATATATTAACCTTATTTGTGGCATTAAACACACGGCAATGCTTAGCCTGGTTGTTGCTCAATTGGAAACGGAGCTCGGCAAAACCCTTTGGAGGGAAAAGGAGACTATTTCCATGTTTGCACAATAAAGGGATGTTGAGGGATAGAGGAGATAGATTTCAAATGCACAGGGCAGTACTATATATACTGACAATTTCTTTGTCAAATGTTAAGCTCCTGGCAAAAGCACGCAGCATTAAAATGCACTCTGGAGTGGAGGTAGGTACCATCTCGCGTTTGATTGTCAGATCTGACTAAGCGAATGCTCTCTTGCTTGATGCGCAGACAAATACACACACAGCTGGGTGGTAGAACACACAGCTCTTCTCAGACACGGGGAGCTGTCACACACGTGTCAAATACATCAAGCGGCTTGCAAATTCCTCCAAAACAAAATGAAAAGGGATGGGGGAAGTAAAAGGGAAGGAAGAGGCAAGAAAATACAGAGGAAAAAAGTCTGGCTTTTCCAACTGGCTGGGCTGTGCGTGTGTGTGTGTGTACACACGTGTGTGTGTGTGATGTATGTGTGTGTGTGCACATGTGTCTGTGTAATGTGTTTAGAAATCCCAACAGGTAAAAAGTATACAGAAGTGGAAACTTTTTCCAAGAGAGACACAAGCAGGCCAATTAGGTGAAGGCACGAAGGGCACAAGAGGTCATAGACTTAGGTGCCATTTATGGTGGAAGGCGAAGTTAAAGGGGGGGTGCAAGGAGACAGAAAGAACAAGCAAGGCTGAGCCGCAATGAGGAGGTCAAGCAACGTGGGCTAAGAAGTTGTGTGCGCATTGTGTGATAGTGGGGTTTAATTCTGGAGTCTCCAACATGGTGGTGCCTGCAAGCCTCCCTTTTATTGCCAAAGATTTAATTTTAAAAAGAAGAATTTGGAGGCCAGCAGGCTTCTAAGGAAAGTGCCATCCATTTTACTTGCAAGAATGCTTTAACACTCAGCCGTTGGATGAAACGGCCAAGGATGAAAGCGAGTTCAAAATCTGTTTCTGCATTTTGGAGCTCAGCCCCCCACTTCTGCCACTTGGTGACAGGTCAAGTCCCCCATGGCAGCCATTTTGTGAAAGTGCCAGAAACTGTCTACCTTCCACAGTTGCTCACCGACCCAAGAAGGCTGTTGACCCCCGAGACACCCTCATTAATCCTTTTAACCCTACAAGCCATCCTGGGGGAAGAATCCTCTGTCACTAAAGGCTGTGCAGTGTTGAGAAAGTACAGGAGATGACAACATTCGGACTGTTTTGTTGGCCTCTGTAGAAACTGGGGAGTTGAACTAAGCTGGACTTTGAATTCCACCCAGAAGGGCACTCCATCCATTCCTAAGCAGTGGCCCTGGGGGGAGTATGGGAGGGAAGTGTGGGTTTCTTTACCCAAGTGCTAAGACAATCACATTACTATGAACACGCAGGTAAAGCAATGAAGGCATGCGCTAATCAGCAGGTGCCGATGTGCGGCCAAGAAAAATTAAGTCAAGGTAAACAGGCAAGTTCAGGCTCTCCCTCCCCCCTCCAGAAGGAACTGC